TTAGTAATTAATCGTCACGGATCAATTATAAAAATATTATTCGTCGCCGGACGTGACATAAACCGTCCCCATCCCTAAGAAGGATTAATAGCCTTTATTGTACCCTTTAACAATTTATAACAACAATCAGAATATTTTAATGTTGAATTTATAAAAAAAATATTGATATAGTTAAACGTTTGTTAAGGCGTACAGTTTTATCAAAAGTCTGACTTTTATTAACTAAAACTGTACATTTTAACGAATGTTTACTGTAAGTCAAATTTGGTTTTTTTACCAGTATAACAATTCTTTCTAGTTGTACACAAACCGATACAAGTGGATCTAATTTTTTTTTATATCGCATACCTTTAATATTAGGTCACAATATATATATATTGTGACCTACATTTGAGTGCGGCCAATTTTTAATTTTTAGCCGCCCAGATGGGATGATTATAGTCTAGAAATTCGTATGTGGCCAATTTTTGTTGTCAGGCCACATGCGAACTATCATCAGGATAACGATGTGGCTAATTCTGAATTTTTGGCCTCATTCGAATGTGGCGGATTCCACGTTTTTGGCCACATTTGAACTTTCATATATCTCGTGCCAATTGTGAGGGCTATGCCAGAACTGGATGCAAGGCGTCCTAGCTTGCAAATGCGTATTGATGTAATTTTTCATAAAATAAACTATTTCATGATCATATGCTAGTAGTCTAATAAATCAATGAAAAACATATAAATAGACCCTCTATCCCCCCACTTTGCATTAAAAAATCAATTCGTAAAAAAATACGTATCCCCTATACCACTATAAACAATACATTTTCTAGGCAAAGAAATGTCGAATTGGCAATCTGTATTTTGGCTTTTATGTTGCATTTGAATACTGGAGTTGAGGTATGTAATGCCGAAATAGTATTCGTGATCTGATTTTGGATGATGCATTGATCAAGTAGTCTAATAAATTGCTACAAAAACATATAGATAGACCCTCTATCCCCCCAATTCGTATCAAAAAATACACCAATTTCGCTTTTTACGTTCCATTCAAATTCAAGAATGAGGCACGATGTGTTGAAATAGTATTCGTGATCCGGTTTTTCGTGATGCATTCGAATACTGATCGAGGATGAGGCACGATGTGCTGAAATAGTATACCTATTTGGTGACCCGTCAAAGCATAATTTTTATAATATATCTTTCTATAATAAATTTACCTTGGTGGCCCACCGATTTTTCTTAGAATTTTGATACTCCGAATAGTGTACTCTTGGTGACCCATCAAAGCATAATTATATATTATATATTTCTGTATTAATTATACCTTGATGGCCCACCGAAAGTGTGCTATGCTTTGACGCTCTGGAACACTTTCTCGCATAGTTAGGTACTACCACTTCATGTCAAAAAAATAGTCTATGCTTTGGAGTACCACCTTTACGTATTACTGGATCGAAAATTTTGATTACTTTTACGTATCAAAAAATTGGATTGAAAAATTTTAATTGTATACTTTTCTGTATCAAAAAAATTGGAACATACTTTGAAAATTTTATTGCACTTTTGCGTATCAATTTTACGTATTAGTATCAAAAAATTGGATCAAAAAAATCAAATCGCACTTTGAAGTATTACTGGATCGAAAAATTGGATCACACTTTTACGTATTACATATAAAAAATTGGATTGCACTTTTGTGTATTACTGTATCAAGAATTTTGATTATTTTTCACCATAACGAAAATTTTAATCTCGATCAGAATCGCACGACACAAAAATCCCCTTGGTCTAGGTACCTTGTATTATTTTCCTGGAATTATTTTTTGATTTGAATTTTTTCACGCATTTATTGTAAGAGGCGACAAAAATCCCCTTATCTGAAATGAATGATTAGTTTAATGTAACAATATACCTCCTGCCAGAGGTACGCTACTTAACTAGATCATTGGTTGATTGAATTAGTCGGTACATTTTGAGTTAGTATTGGCAACGGGTATTGAGTCAAAGAGTTCTTGAATTTCATTTGTTTATATGACGGAAGTATTGGAGTCCCTGCTTTATCAAAACCAGTTCCACTATATGGTTTGCGATCAATCTTATAAGTACTTTTCCATACTCGTTTATCTTTGGTCCTTCTTTTTTTCGCCTACTTTTGATAGTATAACCGCACCAATTACCCACTATCGCATTAAACAGTTTAACTGTAGCATTGAGATTAGTGTTGATTTCCAAAACTCGAGAGTTTCGCAACCGTGCGAAAGTCAAAAGGTTTCGCCATAAGTCGAAACTAGTTTTGATTTTTGACTATTGACTTTTGATTTAGTTTTGACATATAACTTTTAATTTTAGTTTTGACTTTCACCTCTTCAAAATAGTTTTGGCGACCAACACTATTTTTGTAAGAATATGAGACTTATGCTTTTATTTACAAAAAGTTTAAAAGAAGTTTATTGTATACAGGGTGTACGAAAAATAACCGGACAGTGACCTTTTTTGTTAATCACTAAATGACGTTATAAATTATCATTTAATAATATATATATTAATGATTCTATACTTAAAAAAAGCTACATTTTAGATGCAATCAGTAAAAAAGGTCTCTGTCCAGTTACTTTTCGTACACCCTGTATATTTTGTACGTACCACAAATTCAACGATCATGTGACCGAAGGAACAAAAAATTTCGGTCAAGTTCTGCAGACACACGTATTTGGCATTACGTATGCCAAGTTCTTTGGCATAATGGTTCAATAAAGATCATAAAAAACCGAAGGCCAATAAAAGTAATAAACATGATAAATTTCTAGGAAGCAAAGCTAAGAAAGTCAGACTAACCGAGCTTGAGGATAAGAATGCATAGCTTAAGGCTGAAAAGGCAGAACTTGGGGCTAAGAATGCAGAATATGCAAAGCTTAATACTGATAATGCAAAATTTATAAACCGAATCGGACACATTGATATGTGTCCAATATATAATAGTTCGCATGTAGCCAAAAACGAGAATTAGGCCACATTGATATGATAGTATGTGGCCAAAAAAGCGGATTAAGCTACATAGGTAGGTAACACTCTACTCGTAAGTAGGTCATAGTATATATATACTGTGACCTATTGGATTAATTGAAAAATAAAAATTGCACTACCTCATTTTATTTTTAAAACTTACAAATCTGTACCAAAACTTGTCTTACGTAAAGGTACGTTGTTTCAAACTGAGATACTAAAATCAGCTCAAACGCACTTTTATTTTATAATAATATTAATTATGTCACGTAGTTAACTTCAAGATCAAAAATCGAAAAAAACATCAACAAGGTCTTTTTATGATAGGTTTCGTTCCATTATAACTACTACTACTACTAATAATAATAATAATAAATAATAATCTATTAAAATTTATGAGACGTCAAAGGCAAAACAGATGAAAAAATTGCTCTTAGAAAACCAGGAATTCAAATTATATCTTCCACGCAGTATGTACATATCAGCCGATTTGGTTTTTTGGGCCTTTTTTCAAACCTTATGTCTTATTGTGTCTCGATGTTAAACACGAGTATTTTTAATGTGTAAACTGGTCGGTAGAATGATAATTACCCTAAAAAAAATTATTTGCTCCGCTAAAAAAACTAATTTACTATCCATCAACCCGTCAAACCAATGGCCCCACCTCAAAACCAATGGGTTTTTGCTAGTATAAAGTATTCATAACGTTATGATCATACCGTACTGGATTTTGGGGTTCAAACAAAATCAGCGCATATGACACGACGATTGAAATTCAGGGAGAGGTGGTTGGTACTCGTCGAAATTGCGGTCATATGCCACCATTACTATGTTGTAAAACTTTACACAATACCTGACACGTGATTTATCAGAGTTCAGCATAGCAAGCTTTTAAAGAAAAGAAACTTTTGGCACCAAGATAACATTTCGACCCTGTTTTTCTTTACTTCTACCCTAACACATAAAGTAAAAAGGCGACATTATCAAATATTATTAGTTATACTTAATAGGGAACCATCTATTCTGACAAAATTTCATTGCCCGTAGCTTTTAAAGCGGACGAACCCAGGATGACAATAATAAATTTTCTAACATAGAGCCTATGATCTCAATTATAATTTCCCGAGGTCCTACACCAATACATGAAATTATTAATCTTTTGTTATACAATACGCCTCATTCGCCTTTATATCTATTGGTGTAAAAATCAAAATTTTATTTTGTCACTTGTTAGCTACCAGTTATAAAAGCAACTTTATCAAAAATGTTTGATGACGTTTTATTATTAATTATTTTTAGAAAGGATTTTTTCAGGGAAACCTCACGCACTTATATATATTGAGGTTAATTATTCTTTTAAGAAATTTAAATTGTATAATAAACTTGAAGGGTAAATTCTATGGATATGGAAAATGTAGAATTTGGTAGTGAATTTTGAAAATAAATTAGGCAAACTTCAAGTTTAATTGATATTCAAATTTTCAATTTGTTTTTTATTAAAAGCAAATCTGCCTCAAATTATACTATGCAGATACTCTAATTATTATCTTAAATGTTTTTTGAAAAAGTCCAATTAATTAATTAATTAATTATATGTTCTACTATATTTCTCCCAATTCACGCGGTATTGTAAAGCTTTGAATTGATCCTATTAGAGCAGTGAGACTCATTACAATAAATACAAAACAATCGTTGAATGGAAAACTTAAATTATTTGTCAATGACCAAGACCATAAAGATCCACTCGATGCTGGACCAATAGCACGAACAAATGCTGAAGAAGTCTGACCTATTCCATTGACAGTACCAAGTGTTTCAGAACTAGCAGAATTATTAACCTGTCGATATATTTATAGGAAGAGAGGGACGAAAAGAAAAAATTAAAATTAAAAATGAATAATCATTAATTAATCAATTATAATGGTAAATAATAATAAATCATACCATTATTATTATTGACGTAAAAGAGATAACATTTAAAAAAAATCTAATCATTAACACAATCAATAATATAATCCAAACAATTTCATCATCATCACCATACTCTGATTCAAGTGGTAGATTCATAAATGATTTTTTTAATCGATTCAATAAAGGAAATAACAAATAACAAATAACGTAAGATATTAATGTTATATGATATAATTTAATCAAATCTACTTTAGTTCTTAACCAAGGATAAATCAGAAATTGAGAAACTAATTGAATAATTCCCATTAAAGCCAAACTTTGAGCCAGCTTTATTGACGAATAACCTAACCCTCCATCTTTAACTTCTGCAACTGCATATAAAGTGTAAACTTCATCAAATGCTATTGAATGAAATGCAAGCAATGCATAACTTGCTATACACCTATATGTAACTCGTGAGATTTTGACTTTAGCTTTTGATTTTGATTCTTCGCCATTTTTCATAATAAAACTTTGCTTGTTGTTGACTTTGATGTCGGTGACATTATTCTTTGACAAGCCCTTTAGTAGATTTGAAGATGACGATGTTTCTGGATAACATGGATATTCTTCAATGTATGATTGTATAATATTATTTCCTTTAGGTGATTGATTATAATTACCATTGTTAGAATCAACATTTGAAGTAGCTCCATATGAGATTATTGAATTATTTCCACTCAAATTTTTTCTGCTTGAAATACCAATAACATCTTCAATATCGACATATCTTTCTTCTCCTTCTTCTTTTTGATGATCATGCATATATCGTGTCTCGGGCAAATAAAAATATCCAATAATTAACCCAATAAAACTAACAATTGAAGCAACAAAACAAGGAAGGAAATATGGAAATGACTTTAGGAAAGGACAATTGCCAAATATTTTTGGAAAATTGTCAGCAGGATGTGATAAGAACCCACCAATCACAGGCCCTAATTTATATAATGAATATTTTTAATAATACTTTTTGAAATTCCAAAAAAAAAAAAAAATTTTTCTAATAAAATCTTACCAACTATAATGTAATTAGAAAAAAAAGGAATGGGTGATTAATTAATATATATATATATATATACCCACACAATATAGATATAATTAATAGTTACTTATACAGCCCATTCCCCAGCAAAATCCAAATAATGAAAACGCTTTTGTTTGATTGGTTTTATCAGTTAGTTCACCCAACATACTTTTTGCAACACCAATATTACCTATAAAACAATATATAGTAATGTCATTTATAAATGTGCATGAAAAAAAAAGATCATCATCTCATTTACCATTTAGCATTCCACAGGTTGAACGAGAAGCAATAGCCCAAAGTAAATTTTTACTAAGACCAAACATAAAGCAAGTCACCATATTTCCAAATAATCCAAATAAAAGGATCGGACGTCTACCGAATTTATCAGACATGTAACCCCAAAATATTGAAAAACAGAATTGTGCAAAGAAAAAAGATGATGCTAATCAGAATGAGAATGGACGGGCGAATGAATATAATGATGATATTTAGATGATTAAAGATGATTGTGATATGTAGATTTTTTTTTTTTTTTGTTACTATTACCTATTAATCCTGCGTAAAAACCAATTTCTTTATCATCATCACTTACACCAAAATCACGAACCTAATGAAAATAAAAATCATTGATTATTTTCTAATTGTTTCTGAACAAAAAAGTTTTAGAGTTCCAAAAAAATTACCATGAAATAAATAAAAGGTAATAAAATAGTTGAATTAAAAGGCTCACTAATAATCACTATACTTAATATAAGTAATGGTAATTTGGGTAAAGGTGTCTCCGCATATTTTCTTGACTTGTTATCATTATCATTATTTATTGTTGATTGAATTAATAAATTTCTTTCAGAATTTAGATTTAATTCATCATCATTTTGATCAAAAATTTGATCAGGGTGATTATTATTAAAAATTTTTTTAGCTTCCATTAATTTTTAAAGAAAAAATATTAAAAATCTGTTAAATATTCCGAAACTTGAACTAATAATAAATAAATAACTTTTTTTGTTATTATTATTATTATATTTTTTAAATAATACTCGATTTCAAATGTTTGTTTGTTGCCATACATACATCTAAGCCACTCGCCAATTAATTTTATAAAAAGTGTCATTTACAAATTCACATGCGAATTACCCCGCTCATTAATTAATATAAATTATATTATTAATATAGAAATTTTTACTATATAAAAAACATATTACTAATACAAATTTTAGTGACACCTCTGTATGTATTATCGGCGGCCCCTATCTATCCTGCTCAGTCTAAAGACTCCTATTGCTGCACCATGAACCCAAATTTCAAAAAATTGCGATTTCGTGATTCGATCAAAAATGCAATAAAATTTTTAAGGTTTCACGTGATTTTGTTAAAAAATTATTTTCTTTACCACCAAATTTAGATATGATGGTCGAGTATTAGTTTAAATTAGTGATGATGATCAAAAACTAGTCTAAATTTAGCAATGAACTAGCACTAAATTTCTCATGGAGAATACAGTATGTTTCAAAAAAAACGGCAGTTGGTAAAATATAATGAAAATTATACCAGAGAATTGGAGGATCTTAGATTATAACTATACATGAAGTCGAAACTATTTTGACTATTTGCAGATCTGGTCAAAATAGGGTCGAAATAAGGTCGAAACTGATTTTTACTATATAGTTGCCTCAAGTCAAAACATTTCGACTTTGGGGTTTTAATTTTGACTTCATGTATAATTATAACATATGAAATTTTTGAAGCATATTGTTATGTAGGCTTTAGAGCAATTATTAAAGAAATTTACACATTGAATTGTTTTTTTCAAAATAATCAAATTCCTTTTGTTTCCATTTGACAAAATTCTAGAAAATCTTGAAGTACAAAAGTTTATATATATAATCTCCAGAACTTTCATTACAAACTGGTATAATTTTTTGAATGATTATTATGTATATTTTTGTGTCAGGCTTATTATTAAAAATTTCCATGTTAAAATTTCAGAGACAAAAATTTTGACAAAGTTTTAAAAAAAAGATATGAATTAGCTTTATAGAAAATTAGCAATAGCATATCATGTCTATTTTTTTTATTTAAGAATGTAATTTGATAAACTTTCAAATGAATCTAAATTATTTAATTATGTTATGTAATTGTTGAGATATGCAATTTTTTGTGTGTGACATTTTTTTTGAAACACACTGTAGTAATGTACATGTTTTAAAAAAGAATAGAACCCTACAACAAAGAATTTTTTTGGGAAAATCTCTTTATTACATTAAAACTAAATACATATTCTATCAACTAATAGAGTTATTTTTTTAAAAGATAGGACTGCCCAAACTTTAGAAGGCCTTTAGACCAAGCCAACTATAGATAGATAGGTTACATACAAAAATCATGGTTTGATATGTATAGGGTTTGACCCACACTGTGATGAATATAGGGCTTCTATTCATAATACAAATTCTTATTCGTTATAGAGAGGGTCGTTATAGAGAGAGTAGACTGTAAATAAAAATCTGGTTGTCCTTGTAGTTTTGCTGATCGTTAAATTGACCAATAAGAATGATCAAAACTTTAATTTGTGTTACCATTAAACAGTGTTGTGCAATTGGAACATTGTAACGCTATTGGAATGTTCCAATGTAGATCTTCAATTGATATTAACCAATAAAATTCGTGTGTATGACACTATAATTGAATTTCATTGGTTAACTTCATTGGAACCACATTTGGAGTGTTCCAATTCCAATTGGAATTTATTAGAATGCTCCAATGAAATTTTATTGGAACCATAAATGGCACAACACTGGTCATATGTTTCACAACATAAAAAAGATCAATGGTCGATTTAGTCACATGTGATAAAACGAATGTCCATTATGCTTAACCAATCAGTATAGTTAAAAATTCTTTTATGGATACATCAGTGTTACACACATTTAATAGACATTTCAAAAAAGACCAGCAATTTATATTGTAAAATTGAAAATATACCACTTAGAAAAGCAGTGCTGCACATAGTGTTCTGTGTTTCAATCCAAAAAAGGAAACAAAATGGTTGTAAAGGCAGTTGCAATCATTTTTATATGATGCAAAGATGGCAGCAACCATCATCAAAAGTTGCAGCCAGTATCCTTAGCTGCACAGACTATATAACACCACCTCAAAGTTGCACAAATGTTCTGTTATTTTTGTTCTTTCCTGAGTGAATTGGATTTTGATTTTTTAATAATAACAAAGTTGCTCTAAATTTGTCATAACATCAAAATTTGTGATGACCTACATTTAACTTAATGCATAACATAAAAAATAAAACTAATAGATAATTCAAGAAATAATAAATAAATACCATTTCTAACTATTATTTATCATAATAAAATGAATAAAGGTGTAAGCTGAAACAACTTTGTCCTTGTATAGTATGTGGTAATCAAGATATATATTATACAAACTCTGTATTATATGATTGTTAAGTATATAAATATAATTAGATTTTGGTGAAAATAAGCTATAAAATCAATCCTCTTGTCGATCTAATCAGTCCTAACAAAAGAAAAAAAATTTTTGGTTTGAATTTAGACAAGTAATAAAATAAACAAATTATTTTTCATAAAAAAAAATAATGTTGCATTGGGGTGTTACAAATTATAATAAACACAAACATAGTTGAGCACACATATAAAAAATCATATGTGCGGATTTT